CTCTCCTCCATACTGAGAATTAATTCAGCTGAGGGCAGAAAGAAGGCCTTTTCTACCTGTTCGGCTCACCTGACTGTGGTCATCTTATTCTATGGGTCAGCCCTTTTTATGTACATGAAACCCAAGTCAAAAGAAACAAAGACCTCTGATGAGATCATTGTGTTGTCTTATGGAGTGGTGACCCCAATGTTGAACCCCATCATCTACAGCCTGAGGAATAAGGAGGTAAAAGAGGCTGTGAAGAAAGTCCTGAGCAAGCACCTATATCTCTGGAAAAGCTGAGAAGCCTTGAGACCTGTGTCATCTTCACTGAAGGACAATGTCAAGTCCTCCATGTTCAAGGTCATAGTCATGGTACCCAGTGTCAAGGGAATAAGTGATTCTAAAATCAAATATGGGATCCAATTCCCTTCGATATAGAACCCCCACATAACGCTTGCTAAAAAATGCCTTTTGTACTTAGTGTCCAGTTGTAATCAGTCCAGTATCTAGTTCCATAACATTCGTGATGCTATTCATCAAAATCCATCCATATCATTCTATCTGTCTGTCTGTCTGTCTCTGTGTGTTCTAGCTCTCCCTTCTCTCCTTGTTTTTTCTCTCCTCTTTCTCCTCCCTTTTCTTTGCATGTCCTTTCTCTCTTCCCTGCCCTTTTCCTCAATATCTTTGATGTGGATAGTTATTGTTTTTGCTGCACAATATCCTTCCTTGAAACATAATACATCTTTTCCTTTGAAAGAGCAAAGTCTCCCATTCTCAGTCCATGCTGCGTTTATTAAGTCTGATAAAATCCTCTGAAAACAGAGGTAAATATGGAAAAAGCCATTGGCAATGAGAATAAGATACCCATCATGGAGTGCAGAGACTAGTATAGCACAGCAAGTGTTCTCAGCGTGGCTAATCAGAGTGCTACCTTAGTGTCAAAAAACAAAGAGGCACCCTGTCTGCAAATGTCCCTAAAGTGGTGAGCATCAAGCTGTAGTTTCTGGTGACCAGTTTACCAAGATGTTTGGAGGGCTTCAGTGAGCAGGAGGCACTGATGAGGGACACAGTCTATCTGACTATGTCATTTTCACTTCTTAAAGGACCTATGGCTAACGTCAAAGTCAACATCTTGTTTGTATGACTCAACTTAGCTCTTAGTTTTAAAAAACTACTTTCAATTATAGTTTATGACTTACAAGCCTATACATGCTAATTAATATATCTCCTTGTCTGACATCCACTAACATTTTTGAGCAAAATAAAAAACTATTAGACAATGTTATTGGATTGGTACTAAGCTATCTAAACTTTAGAATATCTCTTTCGCTTCTTAAGTTAATAACTTTTGCTCTCTGTGACAGCAAGCATTCTAGGCATCTGCACATCTACTGAGAAGCATTTATATGTTTATATTTTGTGTCTTCCTTATTTGCTTCATAATAATATCCTGGGATTTCCCACCATGCTTTCCTGTGCTCCAATTCAGTCCATGTTTTGGATTCTTGAATTTTGCTTTTTTGGGACACTGTGTATTAGTTTTTAATAGAGATTGCCCATTCATATAATATAGCCAGTAGAACTTTTACACATTAATAGCTAAAATTAGTTAAAATTGGATACCTTTAAAATTTTTTGCATGTAAACTTTTTTCCTACTCTGCGAACCAAAACTATGAGTGCCATAGGTCTTGAGAGGTTTACACAATCCAGTTATTTGTAGATATGAGACCCGGACTATCATGAGCCCAGTGCTTGATAAATACAAATAACAATGTGTTAGTCTATTAACTGACAAAATAATGAGTCATGTATGTTTCCCTCCAGCCCTGATTTACAGGGTCATAAGCATATCATTTATAGCATGGACAGTGCAAAACTCTTGACTGCTGTCTCCCCAAACTACTTCTCTTAAGGTCTCATACACTCGTATCCAACCCACAAGCAAATTCTGTCAACTCTATCTTCACTTTCATCTGAATTTGACTGCTTTCATTACTATTATCATAGTTCAAGCCACTGGCATTTTATCTAGACAACTGTAACGTTTGTCTAAATCATCATTCCTGTGTTTCCATTTTTACTTTCCTGCAATCCATTGTCTGCACAGCAGCCAGAATATTGTTTTATACATGACTTATACCATAGAGTACCTTTTCCTAAAGCCTTCAAAATGTTACCGATCCTCCTTGAATACAATCTAAACTCCATCCTGTGTTCTATATTGATGCCAGTCAATGTAATCTGTGGCACACTTACTTCTATCATCTATCTCATACCTCCTTCTGGTGCTCACTTGGTTCTAGTTCCAATGTCTTCATACTCTTTCTCAAAAATGGGAAGACCTTAGGTCTATGTAGATAAGTTAGGCTGGATAAACAATATGGAGGAGAAAACACAGGGAATCCAGGACAGACAAACCACTAAGGACCAATAATAAGAGTAGAGATACCAGGAGGGTAAGGGAAGGGGTAGGAGGGGAGCAAAGGGGGAATGATCACAAGGATCTACATATAACCCCCCTCACTGGGGGACGGACAACAGACAATTGGATGAAGGGAGACCTTGTTCAGTGTAAGACATGGAAAAGAAATAATAAATTATAAATTATCAAGGGTTCATGATGGAGAGATGGTGGGGTAGGAAGTGAAAAATGAGGAACTGATACCATGGGCTCAAGTAGAAAGAAAATGTTTTGAACATAATGATGGCAACAAATGCAAAAATATACTTGACACCATGGATGGATGTTTGAATTGTGATAAAAATTGTATGAGCCCAATAAAAGGATGTTTTTTTAAAAATAAATAAAAAGAAAATGTTACACATTTGATACTATGATCCACTGTCATCCTTCAGTTCAGAAAACAAATAACCCCGTGACTCAAATATCAGCCCCAAACAGAGAGGTCTATATGCTGAGAAAACACTATAGAAGTTAATAGGAATCAACGATTTGAGATTTCAAAGGCAGCACTTGCCACAAGACAAAGCTCAGAAGGCAGGAAATGTTAAAAAAAAGAGAGTGAATAGAAAGGAGTAACACAGGGAAGAAATGGAACAAGTGATATTACCTTGTAGGAATTGTAATCAATAACTTGAAATAAAATGTGTACAGGTTGTGCAGAAAATGGATTTTCTGTGTAAATCTCTTGATTCACAATTGAAAGTTTAAAAAAAGAGATGACCATCAACAAAAAAGTCATGACCATCAACAAAATTTAAATGTTCAACTTTAAATCACTTCTGGGATTAGAGAGTCTCTTAGAAGAAAACAAATGAGGATGTAAATTGGCTAGCCGAGCCACTGTGGGTTCTCTGGCAGTGCTTGGAACTCACAGGTTAGAGAGTATTTATTTGGAAGACTGCTTACAGGTGATACAAGTTTATGACATGAAATTGGGGTGAAAGCTGTATTTTTGGTCTGTCTCCATCACCACAGTCATCTGGAATTGAGGGATGTGGACATAGGTTCTAGAGCACACTGATAACTCGAACACAGGAAAGTTTAAGAAGTCAGCTAATTTGAAGGAAGCATCCACTGAAACCTCAAATTGAACACAAGAAGTTAGTGAAGCACTGGGACTTCTGAAGAGAGATGTCCATACTCATGGACAACAGGCTTCCTTACTTGAAAGCTCAAGTCCAATCAAAGGAAAA